AAATCTTAAGGTAGAGAGTACTGAAGAAAAAATGGTCAAGTAAACACATTGTGAACTATCAACAAGGCAGCAAACTGGGCTTTCTGAAAAAATAACACTCCTCTCTTCACAATCTGCTTAGACTATTAAAGAGAAAGGAGCCACAGGGGAGTGAAAGCTTATCTATCACAGTTACCCAACAGTAAGACRCTGCACTGTGGGATGAAACCAGAACTGCTCTCATCCAATTAGGTGTTGTTTTGAGAAAAGTAAGTAAAATTCTTCAACAGATTCCCTTCTTCTGAGCAAGAAGCTGGCTACTTGACTTGGAACTTTTCTTTCTTTTCATTTAATCCCAAATTAAGTCTTTACAACAGGAGGGAGGCTCTTCTATTTGCCTTGAACTTCTAAGTGATTAAGAAAGGAAATGCTACTGTCTTCCCTAAGTATCACTCTTACAGTGGCATAAGCCTCACATGGAAAGGTAAAGGTATATCAAATAGCAGAAACAGGAATACAGAATTGAAAGCCAGAGATCACTGAAAGCGCATTTGTATACGACTGACATCCCAGAAGACACCGAGCAAAATCAGGAGTTCAGTGGGTGTTGTCCTCTTAATGAACCTCCTTCCACCACAACTCTCAGAGATGAATACTGATTTTCTCATCGCCCCAGAGACTACTGGACTGAAAAGCAGTAAAAAGACAATTCTGAGGRATCAAACTTTGAGTGCCTGAAGCTCTAGGAAACTTAGCAAGAATTTTGAAAGTCTCCCTCTAAGGGAAATTATTAGAACCTAGTTAGTGGCAGCAAGAGCAGACTATTAGTGATGTTACAACTAAAAGAACCAAGCAAAGTGCCAGTTTTCTGTGCCAGTTGATCTGTGGGGACTGATGAGAGAAGCTTTCGATAGTTCGTTATTCCAGTTCTCATTCTTCTATTTATTTGAGGTGAAATTACTATTGCACAGGTGACTTGCAGTCTGAAGTGGGTGGAGTCCAAGAGGACAGACACAGTTTAAAATCTAATTTTCCAACACCTCTTACCAATAGAACTGCATTTCAGCAAGAATTTTAATGAGTACCCCTGAGACAAATAAAATATAAGAAAAAGGAAATAGCCATAGAAGGAATCTAAAAAGCAGCAGGCAAAATGAAGGTAAAACTGTACACACARTATGAAGTCAAAGTAACAAGAGAAAAGAAACACAGGATGGAACTATTGCGTTAAAAAAAGAGGCAGAGGGAGTGAGGAACCATACCCAAAAACCTCCTTCAACCAACAAAATAAATGATGAGCCAAGACAGCTGTAATAATCCAAGACATAAAGCAACCAATGAAGCCACACATTTCTTCTTACTCAAAAGATGTTAAACAGCACTAGCAAACCTGGTCCTGTAGGTGGCCTGAGAAATAAAATTCCTGTCAATTACATGAAGTAAGTGAACAATGTACATGCTGCTGCTGTGAAGTATTTTGAGAGAATACTTTTAAAAATAAATTTTATATCATGGTATTTCTTTGATATGTAACAGCCTGTGYGTAATACCTCTAAAGCTACCTTCTGTGCTAGCACTCAAAAGTATCATGTTAGTGTAAAAGAGATTTCTGCATACCTTTGTTTTCCTTTCTCATCCATATTTTGATCTTGTATAAGGTCTCGACGTGTTCGCTCTTTGGAGGTAGCAACAACAGAAGATGGCAACGCTGGCTACAACAAAGAAAAACAAACTACTTTGTTCATCATGTTGCAGGTAAGTGTTTTCCTCCCCAGCTCCATTTACTATATATTACCTTTTTAATATCATCATCCTCTGCGTCGCTTTCTTGGCGTGATTCTCTTCTTGTCCGACGTTCTCCACCCAGCCTGAGAAAGAAAAAGTTAGTGGTCATTAGAGAACATGTATTTAGGAAAGAATCTCTTCTAGCCTAAGAAAAATACAAGTGTATCTAGCTAGAAGAACCAACACTTYCAGTAAAAGTCTCCCCCCTGCTAACAACCAGTAAATAACATTTTATTAGATAGAATCTACTGTTGGTGAAAATCAGAGAGACAAAACAGTTTAAATTTTAATACAACTTGAAAAGTAAAGAAAAACAAAAGGATCTACATAACTAGCACATTTGCCATTTAAAAATGCAATGGGAATTTATTTCTTTTCTAAAATGTTTGTGCTTTTCCMGAACCTCTGAAATGGCTACTGACATCAGGGGATCACTAAACAGATTAAAATGCATTGACATGAAAAGGTTGGTACCTATTCTCAATCAGGAAATGCTCTTTGAGTTACCTACCAGATATCTATGGCAGAAGGGCAGAGGGCTTACTACCTGAGAACATGGATCAACTAAGGCTTTAACAAAGAACAACTTAAAAGAAATAATTTAAATAAAACAAATCCTAAAATAATGTAAATAGAAGTTACTTTCAGTTTTCATTTTCAGCTTTGTGGCACAGCACTTTCCTGTTTCCCAGCTTCATTATCTGCATGTTAAGTGCCCACAACACTTAATCTCACGATTATCAGTCACATCTGATGGATTTGCATCAAGATGTGAAAGCTCAGAACGTGAGTCCATTGTCACATTGCCTGTATGCAATTTATTGAACAGGAGATCTAAGTCACAACTCAATTTGTGTCCACTGCAAACGAATTTTTCTACTAAGAAGAATGTAATATACCAGACTATACACCAAATAAGGTGAAGAATTCAAAGTATCTTTGTATTGCTATATCTTTGTATTATTACTACCATCCTTATATTGCTCTAAGACATGAAAAATATTTCACCACGGTGATTTGTTATCACCCAGATTATTTCCAACAAGTCTTGAATATGTAATTTCCAAAGAAGACAGTGAAAGTCATCAGTTATTAACAGTTATCAGTTTACTTTTACAAATTCTCATTTGGAAAAGCAAATTTGCTGATTTTGCACTCACCTACTGGATGCACCTTCAAGATCCCTCTGTTTGGCTGGGGGTCCTCCTCCACTATCAGAGAATCCACGCCTAAAAAGAAACACTTGTGATCTTAGAACAAGTTAGGTTAATCCCTGAGCCACCTAAAGTCTGCACAATTGAGCTATAATTTGGCTTTACGGTCATGATCTAAACATAAATTTTGCTCAGCTCTATCACCGTTGAGTTAGTACTGCAATGAAATGTGCAAACATACTGTTCGTGAGCCAACTAATTTCACCTTGACTTTCTGCACTYATTTAACTGAATAGCTAGACTGAAACAAGGATCCCATTACGTTGAAATGATCATATCTGCAGTGATTTGCAAGACGTAGTAAACCTTAACCAGTGGCTTAATACTGAGATTCAAAAAAATTCTGCTACATGCTCCATTAAGAACTGCTTAACAAAAAAAAAAAAGTAAAAAGTACATGTGTTTTAACATCCCTCCAGGAGCACATAACAGTTAATAAGCAAGAGACTGATCGTGAACGATTTCAGAGACAAGGTCCACACACCACACATGACTCCCTTCATTTAGATGTTTCTCCTTATTCTTTGTTCTAACAGCTGAAAAGACTGGAGAAAGCCACCTGCCTAAACTTGCTGCAACTCAAAATGAAAAGGCACTTTAAATTTAACTCCYAAAGCCCCGTAGGGTCGCTCTGGTACTCATTCAAACAGCAGTGCTGCAAGCAGCAGAGGCAAACACACAACACCCAGCGCAATTGCACGAACCACTGCCTGAGGATGGGTGTAACTCCACTGCCCGTTCTGTACCTCCTTACCTTAGCAATAAACTCCCGCGTCCTCTACCTCCACCAGGGCCTGTGAGGGCTAACAGCCTGTTTTGAGGGGGCCTGCAAGAGACGGTAGGCGCTGTCACCGGTGTCTACCCGGTCCCCGCGGCGCCGCTGCCCACCCGGCCCAACGTGCATGCGGCCGTTCCCTCCCGCGCCCCACGGCCATGTCCTCCCCCCGCCACGGGCAGAGCTCCACATCGCCGCGCCAGCGAAACGGGGACGGCCCGCAGAGCGCCGCGGGGACCCGCAGGCAGCTCCGCGCCGCCCGCCCTGCAGGCCCGACGCGCGCCCCCCCACGCCTGGCCGCTCCTCCGCGGGAGAGCGGCGGGCCCGGCGCCCTCCGCCTCACCTCACATCATTGGGGTCCCGGCCCGTGAGCTTGCGGATATTTTCGTCCACGTGCTTGAGGCTTTCCTTGGCTTTCTCCAGTTGCTCCTGGAGCGCGCGCACCGCCACCGCCATCCCGCCCGCCGCGCGGCCTGGCCGGGCCCCGCGCGAGGCACCGCTGGGAAACGGGGGGGAACAGGCCCCGCCTACTCCGCGAGCCGCGGGCAGGGGGCGCACAGCCAATCGCACCCCGGCGGCTCCTTCTGACAGCCAATCATCGGGCAGAGCACGAGCTCGGCGGGGCTCGCCGGAAGCCTTCACCAATCACAGGGCTCGGACGCACACTGGCGTCCCGGCCGCCCAATTAACGGAAGGCTCTGCCTGCCAGCTCGACGAATCGATGAGAGAGACCGCCGGAGCGACATGGCACAAAACTAAYGAGAACTCACTACGTCATTTCCTGTAGCCAAATCAGAAAACCACTTCGAGGCCGCTTTTCCCCGCCCACCTGGGCCACATCCTGCTCTCTCACTCTCAATGGGGGCGGGAAGCCGGCACGCGCGGGACCCGGGTGGGAGCCAATCACCACTGCGCTACCAACGGGGACCGTGCCCAGCGAGCCAATAGGCMGGAGCGTTACTTAACGCTGGCCGGGGTGGCGGCATTACGGGCGGCGTGTGCCGAGGCTGCTCCTGCCCTCACCATTCCTCTCAGAGCTGCACGGCTGCGAAGCTCCGTCCTGCGCGTCTGTTCTGGCGCCTGGGGCCGCGGCAGTGCTTTAAACCGCGCTGTTGCCCGGCCGCAGGTGGTGCCGCTCTGTGGCTCCCCGTGGCGGATGAGGGAGGACACAGGCGCTGTCCCGAAGGCAGTGACACACCCGCGCTCCGCCCGGCTCCCACAGTAGGGTGGGCGGGGTAGCTCCGCAGGAGCGGGGCGTTTGGTCCCCGGCCCCGGCGCCTGCTCAGGCCTCCGGGCTGGCGGCRCCGCCCGAGTTCGCGGGCTCAGCCGAGCTGTAACGCGAGAGCCCCTTTCCTAGCRCTTCCCGGCGGGAGGAATCGGCCCGGTTGGCACTGCTGGGCCGCCCCGCCTCGGTGGGGAGCTCCCGCGGGTGTCTGGGCTCGCCCGGAAGGGGCGGCGGCCCCGGCGATGGCGGACGAGGCGCTGTTCCTGCTGCTGCACAGCGAGATGGTGGCGGGGCTGTACCGCGCCGCCGAGCAGGGCGAAGGGGTGAGTGGGGCCGGGGCTGCCCCGGGGCCGCCCGGCAGCGGCCGAGGCTGACGCTGYGGCGGCGCCTTGTGTCTTGCAGGAGAACGGGCGCTGCACCACCAAGCTGGAGAGCATGGGCTTCCGCGTCGGGCAGGGGCTCATCGAGAGGTGAGTCCCCGCCGGGCCCGGGCAGCGCCCTCGTCCCTCTCCCGCAGCCGGCGKGCGCTGCTCTTTCCTCGAGGTTTTCACCTCGCCAGGCAAACACACCTGCCCGCTCGGTGCTTTGGGTGCACAGGGTTACGCTGGRGACCTGGCATCTCCTCTATACGTATCTCATTCTTGGGGGGACTTGTGTTTTTGAGTATCACAGGACAGTTTCGGAGTGTCTTGTTTTCCTAGTGCTTCCCATCATGAAAACCGAATTATACGGTTACTTTTAATGCTTATYCTCTTTAATTCTACTTTGTGTAGACTTTTGTATGTTTCCTGCTTTTGGTATGTTTCATGACTTTATTCTCTTTCTAATTTMCTGAAACATAATTTTATGATTGGCTGTTACTCTATTTTGTTTTTGTAAAACGCTCTCAGTTTTTGCCAGCTTCGCGACTGAGTAGCTCGGGTCCTTTGGGGACCAGCGATGCAACTCCAGCATCCTTGTTCCGAGGTCATGTGGAGACTTTTGAGCTTCTGAAGTCATGCTTTCGTTGAGCAAAGTGTTGCTTTAGTGGCAGTTAAATACCCTCGAGGATAAAGGGAGAGAAATCTGAAAYAAGCAAGAGAAAGAGGTCCCTTCTGAAAAACGGGAACAAGTTTTAGATTGTTTCTATGTTAGAGTGCTTATTTGGAGAACTGCTTCCAAGGAGTAGTATAGGTATAAGCATTATATTTATCTCCTATTTAGATATTTTGTTGAAAATAAAACTGATGGGAGCACTTTCCACTCTTCTGTATGTCAGTTGTGTTTAATAATTATGGAATTAGAACAATTCATTCTGTTCTCATATTGGAGATATTAAGATAGCACTGTTTTGCTCTTRAAATACTTGATGAATGCAGAGTAATGATAGAATGATACTGTACAGTGGTTGGAAAACTGATTTCTATAACTATCTCAAAAAATATAATACCATTTAAAAAAAATTACTTCTCTGTTTAATTGATCAGGTTGTGTGTACCATCATTATTGATGTATTTCTCACTTATCTCCTTAGGTTTACAAAAGACACAGCMAGGTTCAAGGATGAATTAGATATTATGAAGTTCATTTGCAAAGATTTTTGGACAACTGTMTTCAAAAAACAAATAGATAACCTAAGGACTAATCATCAGGTAATAATGCTGTAGAACAYRTTTTAACTTAGAAAACKGGTGAAAAGTTTTGAGTTGCTTGTGCATTCTTTGTTTTTCTTAGTCTAGAATTAATTACTGGATARGAAACCCAAAATTTCCATATTTGTTTTGTTACTGCACATTTAACTAAAACCCCCATTTTTTCTTTTTAAACAGGGTATTTATGTCCTTCAAGACAATAAATTTCGTCTCCTGACACAAATGTCTGCAGGAAAGCAATATTTAGAACATGCACCAAAGGTACCCTTTGATTTTRTAGTGGGGGGGTCTACTTGTTTGATTTTAATTACCTTTATCTATTAATAATAATTTTAAATTTTGTAATTGGATACAAACTCTTCAAAAGAGAGGCTAAAGAAAAGTCTTCAGAACCTGTATGCTTTTTAGAAAGGCAGCATGTTTTAGAACAGTGGATTTGATTTATAATGCAAAAAATGGTCATGGTTGCTGCTGTTACGTTTGAGTTACTTCATGGGGGAAGCTTGTCTGCCACTACTGCCACTGTGACACAAATTCTTTCTCTTTGGAAAGCATGTGTTTTCAGAAACTTTTTTAAAATTTCCAAAACACATTTGGAAGATACTATTTGTTACCTAAAACAAGTTTCTGAGATGATGTGAATGTTCAGAAAGATCTTCCACCAATTAAAAATAGTTATGAGGGCAAATGCCGAGTTACAGTAGAAGTTTAGGTAAGTAAAATCTGTGCCTCTGCAGAACCCATAATAGAGCACTTTGGTTCAGGTCGATTTAGAAACGGGACATTCAGTTCTGTTTAATGGCTTCTTGATTCTTRATCTTAGTCCTCACAGATGGCTCCTGTTCTTGGGATTTTTATTTTGGTATTTGGTGAAATGTTTCTTCTGTTTTGCAATACAAGTTTTAAATAACCGCAGGCATTTGTATTCTAAGATATGACCTGTACAAGAGTGCTTGGACGAGACAAGAAGTCTTGGACTGTTTCTCCTTCGTTGATTTTAATACCAGTTGCTAATTTTGGTCAAATCTKGGGAATAATTGTTTTAAGGATATTAAATTCCTACATGTTTAATGGAAATAGAAACAAGTGAGTCAAAGTAGTGCCTCTAATGAGAACAATCTGTATAGTGAGCTCTGCTCTACCAAATGTTGGAGCTTTCCTAACAGAGACCTGACAGTCTCTCAAGCATGGTAACATAACRAAACCCCCATTGTTTTCACTGTTGAAGCTTACTTGAAGTGTAACTTTGTATTTAGTATTTAGCATTCACCTGTGGACTAATCAGAGGAGGCCTATCGAATTTGGGAATAAAGAGTATTGTAACAGCTGAAGTTTCATCAATGCCTGCATGTAAGTACTTGAAATATTCAATTATTAGCCCACTTGGTAACTCTCCTGACTGACTTTGTTGCCACTATAAGCATTTTTCATAGTGGGATTTGTTTGAAGTTGCTGGGCCATAGGATCCATATGAACTTCAGGATATGGCTTGCCACTAAATCCTTTAGTATTTAGAAAATACTGACAGAGGAAAACCTCCCCCATGTTGAGTGGAAAGAAAACTAAGAAGTTGTATTTACATTTGGAAGCATTAAATGTTAAGGATGTGTGTCCAGAAGGTTATTTGCATAAGTGGAGATCTTTCTCTATAGGAGTCATTAAGAAAGTAAGTAAAGTCAATTGTAACTACCCTAGCTGCTCAATTAAAAGTTTTCCATAGACTTTGCAAAAATTTTAAATTTAGCTGTCAAAACTTCTGTTATGTGGGACATGGTCAACTTACAGAAAAAAAGGAAAAGGCTGTTCAGTGTGGAGTTAAAATTTAAATGCTAAATTTAAATAATGGCTCAACTGCTTACAATTAAACTGTAAGATTGAAATGTTCTTTACTATGTCTTTGAAAAAAATTATTACAAGAGAATAATGACTTGGAGAAATAACTGTAATGGTAATGGGATCTGACTRCTTTTCTTACAGGTAAATTTCAGGTGATGATACAGAAGATATAAAGCACGTTCAAATCTGGATATCTACTTTAAAAAACCTTTGTGTATGGATTCAGTATCTTGGCTCAATCTTGTATATAATGTGTAAATTATAGCAGTGTGCAGCACAATTCTAAAATATATAATAAATATTAATTGAAATAACACTATTTATTCTGTATTGGTATAATATTTATTCTATACCAAGGTTATAATGTCCACATGGTAAAACCCATCTATTCTAAAGTTTCCAGCAAAATATTTCAATTACCAGAAGAGCCTGGAAGACTAGAGGAGGGTTAGAGAACAGTGAAAAATCCTGACCAAGACTACATTGGAATAAAAAATGTGTATTGTGTTGCCCAATGTGAATGCCCAACAGCTACCTTTCCCTTCACTCCTGAGGTGCAGTGGGAGGCAGCGATTGCTTTTGTATTTCCTTGATGGATCCATTAGCACGTGAGCAGAGAGCATTCAGATGGAGCCATTAGCACATGAGCATTCATTAAAGATGTTTGGTAGTTCCTTTGTAGGAATTTGGGGCAGTAGAAGAGAACTTATTTTTACATAGTTTTAAAGTTTCTCCAAACCTCCCTAAGATTAGCAGCTGTTTCTTGTGTCAGAATGAAGGAAATTTGTTCTAGCTTGTGCACAGACTCAAAATTAATATAATTATTTTTAATTGCTAGCTATGGCTCACTTCTGTAAATAAGWGTGTGCAGGAAGATTATTAGGTCTGAAAGAAGCTATAAAGAATATCTTGAGGACACTAGGATTTACTGGATACTACTTGTTGCAGGATTTGCATAACTRTATGTATCTTGCCTTAGGTGAGCATGAAAACATCTTGTTAAAATTCCTAACCAATTTTGCTATTTTTTTTTTGTTGGCAGGCTCAGGCCTTATAATTCAAATGCATCACAACAGAAACTTATGGTGTTTATTTACAAGTGTGATAATGCCTTGTGATAGATTCAGTCTCTGTTTTTGAGACCTGTAAATAATGTGCTGAAAAATTAGAAAAACTGACGTGTTAAAATAGCACCTTTGATATAAAATTACCYTCTGTGTTGGGAGAAGTGTATGTTGTACAGTTGCGTGGTGGGCAAGAACAGTGGAAAACATTCTTCCGTAAACTTCAGAAGTCTAAAGCTTATAGTAGATCAAGCCTTTTCTAGAAAGCTGTCACAAGCTGTCAAGCTAGAGATTATAAATGTGATAACCAGGGTTTTATTATGCTTGAGCTTAAGGTGTGACTAAGTCTTCATCTTTTCAGGTACTCTGAATTATAGTTCACAGTAATTGTAGCTGAATAACTTAACAGTTCTTGGAAACATGTAGAGCAAAATATGAACCAGCCAAATGCTGTCCAACTTTTTATAGAATTAGCAGAGGTGGAAGGAACTACAGTAGTGTGGTACTCAGTGAGGATTTGCAGTTTGATTGAAAAGCCTGTATTCTTACCCTGGAAATTCAGAGGAAGATGGTGATAATAGACCTCTATGAGATTTGTTTGGAGTTGCAGGACTGGAGAAATAACTAGCTAGTATKCTTTCATAGGTTTTTCAGCTGCCAAGTCATCCGCTTTCAACATGTTGAAAATGTTACTAAAGAGACCAGAAATAATCTACACTGTATATATAATAGATGGACATTTCAGTGTCATCCCATTTAGGCATCTGCAGTGGGGTAGACACTMAGTATCAACATACACAAATCTGATACTTGCATCTCCATAATTAACACTATTACTATAATTCACTTTGATTTCTCACTTGACACCTAAGACTACCATTCCACATGCAAGAGTGCCTGTCATTCAAAGATATATTAAAGATATATCAATAACTGGTTATGGGTAATTATTTTAAATTCTGAGGGGTTTTAATTTTACAATACACAGAGAGCAGATGTCATTTAATACTATCTGCTGCTATCAGCTGAATTCATAGTTCATTCAATTGYTGAAGATCATTAGAACCAGAGGATCATATATGTACAATCAGATAGTGATCCTCCTGGCACAGCACTCTGTTAAATATATATAAATAAGCAAGGTAATGTATTTGTCAACCATAGAGAAAATAAATTTGCTCATTCTGTTAATAAATGCTTCTTTTAAGAGCTTTGAATACATGTGTGTAATTTTCACTGTTTTCTACAATTGTTTACTAAAAATAGTATTAATTCGCAGGAAGTACTAATGTTTATGTTTTTCTAAAACAAGTGTGTCAGTATTGGCTRTAGTTGAACTGCTAAGTAGTGCTACAGCTCAGGCACCAAAACTTGAAAAAACACCTTCAGCCCTAACTGTATAGACTTCTATAGTAAGGTTGCTGTTAAATAGTATAGAATGAGAAACCCCACAATGTTTAAGAACAATCTTTAAAATATTTTTATTTTATTAAAAAACGGATAAGTCTGTTAGAAAAAGRATAATAATTTGTAAYGTAACCTCAGACTTCACCTAATAGCAGTGTCCATAGGATTATTCAGATTGTAGAAATTTCTAACCAAAAAAAGTAGTTTACAAAGACAGGATCTTGAGAGCTGATGCCAGACGCTTCAATTACCAGTTTATGATGATAGTGATGATGGTATTGGAGATATTGACAATCTCAGCTAAAACTCATCTTAAGTTTTTCACAGCTGTCCCAAATGCATTACCATGAGGGTATTCTGAAGGCATTGTGTAGTGCTTCAGGTCTGAACAGTGCAGTATCTCACTGTTACCTCTGATAATGCTGTTTATACTATGGCAATGCAAAATACTGGATGTTTTCCAAAACAGCCTAGGAAGGCTCATCAGCCAGGTCACGTTGGTCGAAGTACCTACAAATGAAATGGAATAGGGTAAGAAACCTCCAGTGCTACATATTCCTTCCTTCAAGTTGTCTGACCCATTGCTTTCTAGTTCATCTTTTAGTGTTGCTGTCATGATTATGATTTATGATTCAGGGGGCGCAGCTGAGGGAAGAAATAAGCTAATTTTACTCTTAGGTTTATCTTAAGTCCTTTTAGCTAAGTATATTTGCTACATTGGCCGAGGGTACTTTTATTGACTTTCACTTTTACAAAGATCTAGGTTAGTATGAGTACTCACACATTTATGAKGGACATATATTACTAGTTTAGGTGTATGTTGCCTCACCTGCTAACTAAGCAGATTATCAAGTTCAGAGCTGATATTTGTTCTTCATTCTTGCTCTCCTGGAAAAGAGAGAAATTACAACAATTGTTTTGTTACCTGTGTCAAATGAAGAGCTGTTACATGCCCTTTCACATGTGTTTGTAGTCTTCCCTTCATTCTCCAGCAAACTTAGGACATGGAATATGAACACTAAGACTTCTGAAAAAGGATCCTACTTACCCCCTAGATTCACCAAGTCCTTTGTACAGTTATATTAAATCTTACCTCTAGTACCCTGACTTCTGAACAGCGTCTTGCCAGCTGTCGAATAAGGGAGTGAGCTTCAGGTAGCAAAGGTTTTTCAAGGCATGCCAACAGTGCATAAAGCCATCGACCCTGTGAGGATTCAAATGAGGGTTTTGATTCTGAGCATTTCCATGAAGATTCAAGCAATTCATGTTACATAGAGCAGGACTGAAGCGTAGTTTTAAAACAAAATGGCATTTGCATGCTACATGCTATAATTGAATTTTGAAAACTGAATTAGACACTGCATGGTAGAGGGGTTTGTGTCTCTAGATAAGATTCTTGTGAGCACTACTCTTGGGTTTCCTGGCATTTTTTTGATTGCTGGCCAAGATATAAATTATTACAGTTGGCACTATTACAGTCTGAAGGAAGAATTATTTTAGTAATATCTAAACATTACTATTTGGCTATTAATTTTTATCTTCACAATCTGTGAAAAAACTTTCCTGAAGAGTGAATGTATGAACTCAGATTTTTGTGGCATTAGTGGTTAGATCTGCTTTAAGATTTGCACCACTGTGAAAACATGTCCTTTGAGTTTTACATCACTGAATTCTACTGCATTCTCACAAATTCAAACTTCTATTACCAGTCTAACTTCATAATTTAATTCTAGTGTCTAATGGCCTTCATTTGGGCATTAAACTAAAAGCCAATGTGCACATTCKAACATGTTAGTTAAAAAGAAAAGTCTTATCCAGGAAAAGACAGAATATGAAAGGCCTTTAAGTGACTGAAGAAAAACAGTGACCCTATGTTAAGCATCATGTAATTTTTAATTACTCTTTTCCTTTGTGGTGCTGAAGGAGATGGGATGCATCCACCAAGGTCTTCTTTAGATATGATGCCATTACACAGCTGGYCAGTCTAGTTGTGGACAAATTCCATGCCAATGTATCCTGTCAATCCAGAGCTCTTAGTAGGTTTGATTTGTCACCACATGAATGCAGCTAAGCTTTCTGGTCTGTGCTGTGGAAAGATTAAATGTGTCTTTGCCAGCACACTGTAATGCACCTCCAAACTAAACTGAATGTATTGGTAAACAGTGTGTAGCACCCYGACCAAAGAACCGAAGCTGCTGCAGGTCTCTCTCCTCTCCTCAACATTCTCATTGAATCTTGCGGCCTAAGTTAGTGTGGGGAGTGATACAAAGGGGAGGGGGTTTGGGCAGTACTTGATGTGTCTGTATCTGTTATATTTTGTAATTTGAGCCTTCCAAAAACTACTATAAATACTCCTTTTTATATCTAATCAAGAAAGTTTTGAAAGTAACAATATGATACAACCATCTAGAGAACTCTTAAAAAATTGGAATAACTTAATACAGAAGTGCAAACATTTTATTCTTTCTTTAATGCATTCATGTGAAAATAGTTGGAATAAATTAAAAATTACCAGTTCTGGAGTAAATTTTTTCTCTCCAAACCAGCTTATCAGGTATTCTAAGACACTGGTTACTGTTGCCTTCAAAAGAGGAACAGAAAGAGACAATATAGTACCTGCAATGTCTTGTTTTGCTACCCTTCTACCTGAAGGTAGAAGGATTTTATTATATAAAATGTATTTCTACTCCACAGTGTTTATTCCAGGTTGAAGTTACGTATAAGGGTAAAGTCAGTGTTGAAGTCACCACTCCTTGAAAATAACTTTATATGAAATTATTTTCTGTGCTAATGGAAAGTTATGGATAAGTAGCTACAGATTAGGAGAGAGGCATCACACTGACTGGCT